TTGGACAAGAATGCAAGTTAATTTTAACTATAAAAAAATTAAATTTAAGTTTATTATAACAATAAAAAAAAAAAAGAAAAAAGAAATAACACATGAAAACTAAATAAGTTAACAATAATAAAGCGCAACTGTAATAAAAAAAAGATTTAAAAAGACATCAAAACCAATTAACTGAATCAAATAAACAATCATTATAAACTTAAACAATTTTTGATTATGTTATATCTTTATCCAATTTTTTGACAAAATAAACATTTTTAAAATCCTTTATCAGTTTGGTGACTGCAGTTTAAATTTCTATGAAATGATGTAAGGACTTAACAGCAACCAACCTTGGGTTTTTAGAATATTAGGAAAACATAGTTATAAGCTTTCAGTAAATCAAACGTGGTTGCTAGGGACGTTGCTATAGAAAAGTTATTTGGCAAAACCATTATCTGTGACACCTTTAGTTATAATAGTAGATGATTTTGTTTTTAAACGAACAAATAAAAATAAAAGATTGGAAAGTTAAATCATATCAAAAGATAAAAGGATTTTAAGATTTTTACTCGATTAAATTAACTTTTAGTTGATTAGTAGAAAGTCTAAGGTCGATTAAATTGGCTCTTCGTTTTTTCTTAGTCGACTAATTTAGACTTTTTACTTTGTCTTAAATATAGTGTTGTTATCGACTTCGACCAATCGACTTTTAGTCGATTTGGTCGAAGTCGAAGATCCAGCACTTTTGAACACAAAGCACTTTTTTTTGAAAAAATTAATAATAGTCATTCTGATATAACTAAATATATAATTTTCTAATTAGATCTTGTTGTAAATACAATAATAATTATTCTGGAATCCAGAAATTTTGAATAAAATAAAATTCTAGGAAATTTTTTTATTTTAGTTAAAAATTTCTTCGAAATTCATTGCTAAGGCAAAATTTTAATTCGTGTTTAGTTTTACACCGTATTAGAGACCGAACGTACTACAAAATAAACAAAATTCTATGAACTGCTAATAGTGCGCTCTGTTGCTTTGTCCAAAAAAACACTCTAATAACTCTTATTTTATTGTGTTTATAACATTATAATGTAAACATAAAAAAAGAATATTAAAGGAGGTAATCCACTGTTATTCAGCGTGGTAACCCTTCTTTACCCAAAAAACATAGTTAATCTAAAAATGGTGAATGGACCATCAGTTGATCCAGCTAGAAACAAGAAAAATGTTTTCATCAAATCCTTAGATGAATGGCTTTTTAAGTTAAAACAATGTGTGGCTGAACTTAAATCTGAAGTTGAAATTCTTCGTAGTGAAAATGCAAAAAAAGATAATGTTATATGTGAACTAACAGATAAAATTTCCAAATTAGAAAATTTGACAGTAAAAAATAACGCTCAATCAGCACGACCTTCATATCTGGATATTGCATCATCATTCACCTCAAAACCTTGCAATAATAAAAGCAGTATGAGAAAACTCAAAAATTAGTGAAAATAAGTCAAAAAAATTTATTGGTGTGTCATCAAACAAAAGTAATTTTTCTGAAAAATTTGAGGGAGAAACTAAACAGTTCAAGGTATTATACAATCATTAAATGTCAATGTTAATGTCAAAGTATTCAGTTCAAATAAAAAAATATACATAAAATCACAGCCACAACCAACAGTTATAGTAGAATATGAAAGTAGAAATACACGCAACCAAGTTGTAGCAACTGCCAAACATTTACATAAAGATAACTATAGAAATATTTATATAAGACCTGATAGAACAATGGCTACACAAGCTTCGTTTGTTAAATTATTAAAAAAAAAAAACGAAGCTAACAATGATCTACATAAAAATGGTAATCTTGACAGGCTCTTTAGATTTGTCATCTGCAGTGACCGGGTCCGCTGCGTTGATGTTACGCTGCGTTAATGTTGATGTTACTACCTGCTTATTCAATGGCTAAGGAAAACACCCACTTATTGATCCAAAAAGAGCTGCTGATGCCCGCAAAACTTAATGAAAATGAAGTCAATAGTGGTATCTCTGTAATAAACAATCAAATGAAATCTTCTGTCAAATTTATCAAAACTAAAAATACGAAGTCTAAAAATTTCAAAAGAAATGCATTCATCTTAAGTATCAATGTATGAGCTCTTGGAAGAACTTTAAACTATTTCTAGTGAAGTTTTATTGTGTGGTGATTTTAACTGCCCAGGCAATAGTCCAACAACTATAGACTTGCAACTTACTAATGTTCTTAAAACTTTTAATATAATACAACGGATTCATACATGATACATACTATCAGTGACAACAATTTGATTTACAACCTTAAAGTCAAAGATCTGGGTATTTCAGACTACTACATGATTCAAGCTGCATTACAACACCAAACTTTGAAAAACAAAACTGTTTGGTTCTCTAAACGAAATTTCTCAAAGTTAGACATATCATGCTTCATAATTGAACTGCAAATGATGCCATGTTGCATTTCACCAGAAATATGTGTTGACGATAATGCAGAACAAATAAAAACTAGCGTAACAACTATCCTTGATAGATTGGCACCAATCCAGAATTATGCAAAAAGACTTAGTTTGCGCAATGATAAATGGTTATCAGTAAATACCAAGAAAAGTAAAAGCAGATGTCGAAAACTAGAATGTCGTTACAAAAAAAGTGGCTTATTGGTAGACAAAAAACTCTAAAGCTAAATTCAGCTCAAGGTAATCATAAAGAAATATGGAGTATTGCTAAAAAATTACTGCACACAAACTCTAAAAATGTAACTGATAACAATATAATACCAGAGGAAAAGTGTGAAACAATAAATCAATATTTCATTTTACAAACTCTAAAGTGTAAAGAATACAATCCAAGAAAGGCTAACTGCCCTCCCAAAATAATATAATGTTTCAGAGCTATCACTCCCTGCAGCAACTTTAATGTCAACACTTTATACAATTACACCTGAAGATGTCTCTAAAATAATCAAAAATCTCAAACTCAAGTTATCACCACTCAATTTTATTCCTACTGACATCCTAAAATCTTGTGCTGAAGTTTTTAGTCCTACTATTGCTCACCTAGCTAACCTATCATTTAATTCTGGAATTTTCCCAGCCTTATACAAGATTGCCCAAATTACACTGATTTCCAAAAATCCAGATCTAACAGAATTTGATCCTACCAATCTACACCCTTTATCAAATCTGAATCACTATATCCAAAATTCTTGAAAAGCTTGCTTTATCTAGACTTTTTTCGCATGTAACTTTCTTTGTAAACTTTAACCCATTACAATCTGGTTTCCGACTCAATCATTCTACTGAAACAGCGCTCCTCAAGATTTGCAATGACATTCTAACAAACATTGATAATGTATCAACTACTATCCTCCTCTCTCTTGACATATCAGCAGCCTGTTGATCACAAACTACTAACAGAACATGCAAAAAATGAATTTGGTATCACAGGAACTGCAGTCAAATGGCTGTCTGCATACCTTCATAATTGAAAAACTTTTATTTCTATTGAAACTACAAAATGCTCAATCTCAGATATTTCAACGGTAGTACCACAAGATAGTGTTATTGATCCGTTTCTATTTTCCATGTTTGTGTCTCCCATAAATCTCATTATAGCTAAACCTGGGTATAATCATCATCAATATGCTGATGATACTCAACTGTATACTGCCGCCAGACCAGGAATAGACCACATAAACAATATAGCTAAATGTGCATATGCAATCACCGCATTGTTTCTTGAAATTAGACTACTTTTTAATCCAAAAAAAACAGAAGCTATCTTATTTGGAACTAGTAATCAAACATTTAAATTTAAAGACGAAACCCAATTTTTATTCTCAGGTGCATCTCTTCCTGCATCAAATTTGGTAAAAATTCTCGGTATTACCTTAGATTCTACACTCTCTGTGGACCAGTATATAAAGAATATTATAAAATCCTGCAACTACCATAATCATGCACTTCAGTATATTCGACCATTTCTTACCAAAAGTGCTGCAAAAATAATTGCATATGGAATTGTAAACTCTCGACTTGATTACTGTAACAGTCTTCTATCTTGAGCTTTTCAAAAAAATCTCGACAAACTTCAACGTATTCAAAATAAGTTAGCTCATGTTGTTTGTCACTCTCCTTTCCGTTCACAATCTGAATATTTGCTTCAATCGCTCCATTGATTACCAATACGTCAAAGAATAATTTACAAAATGTCTGTCATAATTTATAAAACTATATCAACCAAGTTTTCTGCATACTTTTTCGATCTCTTAAAAATTTAAACCTCCCAGCTCCCCAACACAAGATCATCAGACAGTTGCCAACTTGTACGCGTGATGCAACGTTATTAGAAACATTTAAGACTGAAAAATGGAACTTTTTAAAGCTGCTTACTTAATCTAAACAATGCTTGTTTATTAGTGCTTTTGAATCATATTTATGATTGTTGTTGAACTATGGCACTTTAATCTCTAATTATTATTATATATACACACACATATATATATTACATATATTTTTATATATTATGTATTATATATTATATATTATTTTATGCATTATATATTTATATTATATTATACATTAATTTTATATTTTGTTTATATTTTTATATATTAAATATTTATATTTTTTATATTCCTAATGTTAATTTATATAAATTTATATACTATATATAAATTAACATGGAATATAAAATAATAATAATAATAATATAAATAATAATAATAATAGCAATAATAATAATAATAATAATAATAATAATAATAATAATAATAATAATAATAATAATAATAATAATAATAATAATAATAATAATAATAATAATAATAATGATAATAATAATAATAATAATAATAATAATAATAATAATATGCTGTTCTGTTTTAATTTCTGTTACTTTGCATATGATATACTACTATACTACCATAGTATCTATAATAAGGCATTTTAATAGTATACCATATATTGTATAAATTATAAAGATAAAAAAATAATCTTTTAATAAATTTTTTCTTTTAAGGTATAAAAGATGGATACTAATGTACCAACCTATATAATGCCCTTGTTTTTCACAACTAAAACTCAGGAGATATTTCAATGTAAAGCTGATAAAGATCTAACTGAAGATTCACCGTATAAAATCATTGAAAAAGAAAAAATTCTTCAAGATTTCAAAAATCGAGCTGCTATTTCTGATTTTCATCCTGCTCGAAAAATTATTGAGGTTAGATTGGATTTTGTTGGTTTTTAAAATATAAATTGAAAATTTTTACTTTTTTTTGACTTCTGAAATTTATCTTACTTAAAAAAATTAATGAGGTTAAATTAATTTAGTTTGTTTTAGAATTATAAATTAAAATTTTTGATGTGGTATTGACTTTAAATGACATCCTTATAAAATTGCAAAATCTTAAAATATGCTTATGATACCATGTTATATGTTACTAATATTGATGTAGAATGTTTTGAAAAAAGAAGTATATAATATTAAATTTAAAGTTGTTATATATTTTTTTAGAATTACCCATCTGATACATTGCTCATAATTTATGATCCTATGTTTAAATATGGGCAAAATTTTTGCTTAGTTACTGATGATAAGCAGAAAAAAGTGCTTTTAGAGGTTATTTATATTTGGGTGATATTTTATAATTGCATTAGATAAATAATATAAATTATTTAGAATGATATAAATAGTAACTTGAATAATGATATTTAATAACTTATTATTGTTACATATTACTTAATTTGCTTTTGTATTTCATTTTTGGAAACTTATCATAGTATGTATGTTTTTTAAGCCTGAAGCTAAAATTGATGTTGTTGAAGCAAAGTCTTCAGAAGAAATATTTTTAAGTAGCGAAGAAATTTTAAGAGAACGATCACCTAAACCTTGGAAATCTTTTGGAAGTGAGCAAGAAGTTGAAGATGAAATAATAAACACTTCAAGAGAAAAGGTAGGAGGTATTTTTTGCTGACTTATATATTAGTTTACTTTTATAAGTTGTTTTATTATATGCATGCAGTAATGCATGGTCCAATTAAAGTTTAACATGTCTTTAGTGGGAGCATTTTTTGGAGATAATTGTTTGATTTTTATTAGTAAAAAGTTTAATAGTAAAAATTGTGTTAAAATTTTTTCTATTAACTTTAAAGAAAGTTAAAGAGTTCCACGCAAAATGTGTTAATTACTTTTACTTTTCCTACTTTTTTAAAAATAAATTGATGAAATGTCAAAATAGAGTAAAAGATTTGACAATTGATTTATATTATGGGATAAAATTGAAAGTACGAAAGGTATGCTTTTTGAAACAAATTGATATAAAATGTACTTTACTGTATGGACAACGTTTGAAGTATGTTTTTTGTTATCTCATAAAGAGTCTGTTATCACTACAAGGTCATTTAGAGACCAAGTTAAATTATGAACACTTAATTTATAATTAAATGTTTTTATTACTAAGAATTAAAATAACTGCTATTCTATATAAAAATATATAGATACTACAAAATAAATATAACATCTACTATAACTATATAGTATAAAAATATAGATACTAACTTTTAATAATAACTTTTCCTCTACAGATGTAATTTTAGGCAAATAACAAAAAAAAAAAAAAAAAAAAAAAAAGTTCTAAAGCATTTTTTAAATATTTTTACCAATAGTTTTGTAATGTTTAATGTAATAATTTTAGGTCAAAATTTTTTAAGTTTTATGTCAAAACAAGTTTGAACACACTCTTGTAATAAATATTTCATAAACTAAGAAAATATAGTTAAAAGTAAGAGTTTTTAATACTAATCACCCGCTAATGATTTTTCAATAAAAATTTTTTACCCAGATTTTTCTTATATTAAATTTGTATCAAATAACATTTTTATAACAAGAAATTCATATACTAATACTTAAAAAAAATTATCCAATAAATCAGAAAAAATGGAAATCAAAATTGGACTTTTTTAGGTGGATGGATATTTTCCTTTTAGATGTATTTGAGTTTTAAACTGCAACAAGCTGCCAAAAGGACTTTTTTAGGTGGATGGATATTTTCCCCATTTATTGCTGGCAGTAGTTATTAATCAGAAAACTTATCTGTAAAGACTTTTGGATGAATAGAAAAATGCTACAGTTGGTTTTATTTTGGCATATTTTCGCAATTTTAAAATTTTTTTCAAAGTTGAGGAGGTCATAATTTTTCTTTAATTTAATACAAACTAATAAAAACCACTTTTTTAAAGAGAGAACTATCCAGAAAATAGTTCTAGAAAAAATGAGACACTTGTTGAAAGTGAGAAAAAAGTTATACAGCTCTAAATTAGTTTGTTTTGACCATTTGTAAATTGAGGGGGCCACTGTGTCATGTTTCTAAGGCTATAATTTCTGAACGGTTATACTTGAAAGTTTAAAATTTCAAATTTAACCTTTCTACATAATGCACGTAATAATATGTAAAAATCAGAAAAATCAGAGATGAACAACAAGTTTTTTTTGAATTGGTTGAAATATAATAATTTGACCCTAATATAAAGTTATTTTTTAAATTTTCTGCCTTTTGCCTTAATGACTGCAAGCCAACTTTTAGGCATTAAATCTATGTTTTTTAACCATTGCAGATCAAGTTTTTCCACTTCTCTGAACCATAAGAATTGCATTTAATTATGACAAATCAGATGGTTTAGCTGCTTTAATTTTGAAAAGATTCCATAAATTTTCCATTGAATCAAGTCAATTTTCTTTTTCTTCTTTCTTGAATTAAGTAAATTTTTCTCAGTCACCAGACCTAATTTTCAATTAAGTCTGGTGACTGAGGAACCCAATCTAGCATCTCTACTGTATAACTAACTTTGATGTATGTTTTGGATCTATATCCTTTTGAAATATAAAAGATGTTTCTAGTGCTTAATTTCAGTTTTTGTTTAATTATATTAGGAAAAATATATTTTTGTCATTCTGTCAATAAATTCAAGTTTGCCAACACCACTACATCCTAAGGAACCCCAAATCATCATTTGTCCTATAATAAAAAGGAAAAAATTAGTTAAAAGTATATTGCAACATTTTAATAAAGCTTAATGGTACATTCACCATGTTTAACATTCACCATGTGATATCCACCTTGTTTAATAGTTGCCAATCTTTTCTTTCTTAAGAAAGGATTTTTTAATCATTTTTTTTTATCGATTTCTGAATTTCATTTTTTTTATCATGGTTTTATTATTGAGAACATGTAAAAAAAAACTTTTTTTCACTCAAAAATTAGTTTGAATAACTTTATTTAACCAAATTTGTTTGTTAACTTTTTTTTTTCTGCAATTTTATTAACTCTTCCTACAGAATAATTTAAAAAAAGTTTGAGTTACGAAAAGTGAAACAGAAAGATGAAAAGTAAAGAAACGCTTTTTTGACTTCCATTTAATTTTTTTTTTTTTTAGTTTAAGAATATGAGCTTCTTTTTATAAAAATGTTATTTGAATTCTGTTCCATGTTAAATTCTGTTAAATGTTATTCAGAATTCTGTTCCAGCCGGAATTACAATATTACATGCCAAAATGCCGTAATTTATTTTTTATCGTTTTTTTTTCCAAGACTTGTGACAGATTGTGTTAATTAAATAAAAAAATTATTGTCCTACATGGCAATAAAGAACTGTGGGTAAACCTAGGCAGAAAATGCAAATTTCTTAAAAAACACAATGTAATTTTATTTGCAGTAATAAATTATGTAAGAATTTCTAGAAGTTTAGGAATACTGTGGTGCAAAAAGAGTTGCTATCCAGTTTTGAACAACAATCTAGCTTTTTTTTTATCAAAAAAAAAAAATAGTCTCATTTTAAATGTTCTTAGATTTTAAATAATTAAAAAGTGTAGAATGTAATTTAAAATAATTAAAAAGTGTAGAATACAGTAAATATTTCAATTTTAACCCAATTTAAAAAATAGAAAACAAAGAAATAATTTTAAATATAAATATTATGCAGGTTAAACTTTCAAAAAAAGAAATTATAAAAAGCAAATAAAAACAACATTAGATTTAAATGAAACAAGAATAAGTTAATGAAATAGGTTATATATATTATAGGTTATAAATATGTTATATAGCCACGATGATGAGGTGCAGGCTTTAACTTTCAATCTTGAAGGTAAAAAATTATACAAGGGGTCGTCCATAAAGTACGTAAGTATGTACGCTTTTTTTTGGCAAAAAAAAAAGCGTACATACTTATGTACAAGCATGTAAAAGAAAATGCTAAATTAAACTTGTTTTCCATAGAAATGCTAAATTAAACATGTTTTTCTAAAGAATTGCTCTTGATGTTGATTATACTCTTCTATATGTTTAAATCTATTCCATATAGGTTTAAATTTAGAATTAAGTCTCCGCACTGTTTAGCAAATCTATTCCATATAGGTTTAAATTTAGAATTAAGTCTCCACACTGTTTAGCAAATCTATTCCATATAGGTTTAAATTTAGAATTAAGTCTCCACACTGTTTAGCAAATCTATTCCATATAGGTTTAAATTTAGAATTAAGTCTCCACACTGTTTAGCAAACCCTCCAAGTTTTTTAAACAGTTTACAGTCAGTTTGCTGAGCAGTGTGAAGATTTCACTCTAAATTTAAACACAATAAATTCAAATAGATTAGAATAATTTCAATATTATTAATGTTAATATATTAGAATAGATTTAAACAAAAGAAGAGAATAGATTAGGTTTAAAGAAATTTAAAGAAAAAAATAAATTTAAACAAAAAAAAGAAGAGTATAATCAACATCAAGAGCTACTTTTAACGGAAAAGAGTTTTGAAGAATGAATACAAATGAAGCGTTTCCTTTTACATGCTACTTTAAAACAGGATAAAAAAGAAATTTGATTTTTGTTGAACTGTGTTCCATATATACATTGATATTGAAAATATTTTAAAATATTTTTGTTGTTTTTAACTTTGTTTAAATTGTTTGAAATATACATAATACATTTTTTTTGTAATGGGCTTAAGTGGGATAAGACCCCCTCAACTTTACCCTTTTTACCCAGTGATGACTTTTTGCACTTTATTCGATTTAAAAAAAAACTCTTTTGTATTAATATAAGACAAATACATGTAAATAAAAAAGGTTTCATTTGAGTGACACAAGATAAAACTGGTGGTCTCTTTAGCCATCCTTGACTGGTTCTTTGATAAGTTTTCAATCCAACACAGTCCAAACATTTTCAATTGGATTTAGATCAGGTGATCTATTTAGCCACTGAAGTAACTTGATATGGTTTTGATCAAACCATTCTGTTATTGATCTTGCTTTATGGCAATGAGCATTGTCTTGTTGAAACATCCACTCTGTCTCTTTACTGAAAAAAAAGTCCTTGGTTTGTATCTATGTTAGTCCATTTGACCGTTTTAAAACGATAAATGCTTTTATTTTAAAAAAAAAAGCGTGTTTTTTTTTTTTTTTATTGCAACTAATTTTTTTTGTTCATCACTTCTATCAAAAATAGTTAAAATACATTTATGTTTGAATTATTATATTTAGAACTTAAAACATTCGTTTTGCTCTTAATGTAATTATTTAATTTAAATTTTTTTATTTTTGCAGTTTTTATTTTAACTACTTTATCTACATGAAAATTAAACATTCCTTTTGCCTTGTTTTTTTTTTTTGTTATTTCATTAAGAATTTAAATAAAAAGTCTCAATGTTTTTATTTTAATTACTTTGTTTAGTATATAAAATGTCTTTTGTTTTTCATTGTTTTATCTAGAATTAATTAAAAGGTTTATTTTATTTAGAATTTAAATAAAAAGTTTGTTTTTCTATTTTATTTTTTTTTGAATTATTTATTTAGCATATTTTCAAAATTTTTGCTGTTTTTACTTTAATTTAAATAGCAGAAAGGTATTTAATTTTAAAATTGTGCACACCAACCTAAAGATGACCATTTGACCAGCGATTTT